TCTCCTCCCATGTATGACGTCACTTCCGGGTCACTGCTGTCACTTTCCCTGGCTAGAATAACCAGGAATAAATGTATTGCAATGCGATTTGCATTGCAGTACATCCAGTGGAGCCCAGAGGATACATGGAGGCTCTTTTAGAGAACCTGTCCCCTATGTAATGAAAAAAAAAAAAAGTGAAGTAAAAAATGTTTCATTGTAAAAAATAGTTAGATCCAAGCACATAATATCCTCCCCCAAAAAATGTTGAGAACCCCCACCCCCCTATATACGCATGTATGTACATAAACGCCCTCGTTGGGGGGCCTACATGTGAAAACATTGATTGTGATACAAATGTTACATATCACAGCACATGCCAGAGTGAGAGCAATAATTCTAGTACAAGACCTCCTCCGGAACATTAAACTGATGATCTATAGAGGCTTTTGAAACATCGCCTATAGAAAATATAGGGTACTGAAGTTTGTTGCCATTTCATTGGCGCACAAAAATTTAAAGTTTGACATGTTTGGTATCTATTTACTCAGCACAGCGACGTCTTTTATAATTTATTGCATTTGTTTGCCCTAAAACTCACTTTAGTGTGTTTTTTTACTAAAATTTTCAGTTACGTAGACCTTTGAGGTAATATCGTGTCACATAAAATATTGGAACTACCATTATTATATTCTCTAGGGTCTCTGCTTTCAGAAAATATATAATGTTTGGTGGTTTTCTGTAATCTTCAGGCCTAAAATGATTTTTCTAAACCTGTGCAAAAAAAACAAAAGCAAAAATGGCTCTGGCATCGAAAGGGTTGAGAAAATGCAATTTGCCCCCCGCATAGGATCATACTCGATAGTCAGTGTAGATGAAAAATACTGATCAGCACAGCGCCAAGCAGGCAGGTCCCCACCTCTAAATCGATATCACTACAAGACAAGCTACATAAAGCATTTTATGAGCACATTTAGGTAAGGCAGAATCGGAACCAACCGGAATCTTACCTTCCCCCACTCTCCGGCCTTCCATTTTGGACATCGCCCTCCTCGGCACTTCTTCCGTGTATTTGGCTTTGCAAGGTGTTTACAGTATTCATGCCCAATGTTGGTTCCATCTTTTGCCACGCAGTAGATGGTTCTGGTCTTCACGCCTCGTCCACAGGATACAGAGCACTGCAAGGTAACACAAAATGAACATTATCAACTGACCTTTTCTACAGGGATGGATAGATCAAGGAGAAATTCCAAAAACACAGCAGCTGCACAAAAGCAACAGCATCTACTGCATTTTTTTTACTTGTTTTTTTTTATTAAATATTAAGGTGTACTGGGGAAGGGAGGGAGATTCATGGTTACAATATCCTGAAATATTTAGAGGAGGCCAACTATGGATCTGTGTAAATCTGTAAGCTTAGCTTCCATCCCCTAAGGATAGGTTCACACCTCTGAGTGTTGCGATCGATGTGTTTTTTTTCCGGAGCATTTTGCATTATTGAACATGTGTTTTTGGCACATTTTTGATTAGTTTTGCTTTTTTTTTTTAAGTTTTGACGTTGATGCCATTTTGGTGCAACTTTGGATGGGTGCAACTTGGATACAGCCGTATGGGTGCAACTTGAATGCGACTTTGATGTGACTTGAGTGCCAGAGACTTCAAACTTGCATCAAAGCCACACTACATGAACAGAATTGTCATACTTTCCTATAAAATAAAACTTGTATCAAAGTTGCACCCATCCAAAGTTGCATCAAAGTCACACCCATCCATAGTCACATCAAAGTTGCATCAAAGTTACACCCATCCAAAGTAACAGCAAAGTCGAAGTGGCATCAATACTTTTCTATTGTGAACATAATAAACCAAAATGCATCAAAGGCGCATCAACAACACACTACATTAATTTCTGCTGTGCATCCATTGAAGTTTTTTCAACCAAAAACGCATTTAAAAAAGTCCCTGACCCTTTCCAAAAATGTAGCAGCTGAAAAACGCATAGATGTGAACCAGGCATAAGTGGGGATGGGGGGATAGGTTAATGTGGTGCATAGAAAAGAAATAAACCTTCACAAGAGGAATAGGTAAGCACTGTCAGTGATGTATAGTGGCAAGGGGAAAGGTTTAGGAAGTTGGGGAGAGGCAAAAAAAGGGTTAAGTGGGAGGAGGTATGGAGAGGAGAAAGGTAGGTTTGCTACCATGAGGGACATTATGTAGCAAGAGCTTGGACATAATCAACTCAGTTTACTTTTATCTGCATTATGGTTTTCGGAACTGTAGCCAGATTTCACAAAGCTCCTCACATGGGTGAACATCTTCTCCCTAAAGCCTGGGATGTGTCATATCTTCTCTCTACCTGTTGCATTACTAGTTTGACTCAAACATCCAAGCAGATCTGATTGATAGCCCTGAGGAACTCAGTACCAACAAAAAAAAATGAATGCATATACCACATCTAAAGAATAGTGAGCTGCAATATATACATTTTCATTTTTGTGTTTAGATAAGTTTTAGCCTCCTATAGGCGACTGACACCAAGTAGCCTTCAGCGGATGTGTTTGGGAACAAGGAAGAGGTTCTCAAGTCCCCTGACTGCCTACAGAAGGAAGCAGGCTGGATTAGCGCACTACAGCGTAAGGATGGATGAAATACTGAAGCTGTAAGGCTCTCAACATGCATCGCCAGGCCTAATTTTCAGTTTTAAATGGAGTGTACCTGTATGTATATGGAGTATACCTTTATTATACGTTATTGTAGCCAATTAGTCGACCCCGGGACTCAACAGGTACTGCAACCAATGCTTCCATTGACATTAATAGAAGGCATAAAAAGTCATATTGGCTACCTGGCTCTACAGATCTGCCCAACGTAATGCCACCTATAACATTTACAATTTTTGGTTGCAGGTGATTTTTTTGGTCTGTTAGGCTGACTGCACATATTACAATCCAGGCACGGGTCTGGGGAGCACAGTTTGGAAAGCAGTGCTCTGAACAAAGCCAGCTTCATAATGGCATGGTTTGATAAATCTGACTTAGAGGAACTTGAGCTCAACCCTAATGAACACGTTTGAGATGAACTAAAATGCTGATTGGGAGCTGGGTCTTCTCAACCAGCATCAGTACCTGACTTCACAAATGCACATTTGCTTGAATGGGCACAAATTCCCACAGATGCTCTAAACATTTGTAAAAGCCTTCCTGGAAGAGTTTAGGATGTTGTAGCTAGTAAGTGAGGGGTGGGGGTATGCTACACAAATGTTTTTTATTTCAGGTGCTTATATAGTGCCATCAATTTATGCAGCTCTTTACATATATATATATTGTACATTCACATCAGTCCCTAACCCTCATGGGGTGTACAATCTAAGGTCCCTAACTCACATTCATACATACACATACTAGGACCAATTTATACAGGAGCCAATTAACCTACCAGCATGTCTTTGGAGTGTGGGAGGAAACTGGAGTACCCAGAAGAAAGCCAAGCAGGCAGTGGGAGAAGATACAAAACTCCAGGCAGGTGGTGCTGTGGCTGGGATTTGAACCAACGACCCTAGTACTGCCAGGTGGAAGTGCTAACCATTTAGCCATTGTGCTGCCACACAAATACCCATAGTTTTGGAAAGGGATGTCCAACAAGCTCATGTAGGTGTAAATGTCAGGTCTCCACAATCAAATACAGGGTTGCTGTTAGAAACCACGGGACCCCATACAGCCAACCTTACAGTGCCCCCACAAAAAACACAGTTTACTATAGTTCAGTTATGAATGAACATAGCAAGTGATCAGTACCAATCACTTACTGTGTCCATTCAGGAAAAAATTATGTGCTTGCAGTTGCAGTGGGAAGGAGAGGAAGGAAGCCGGCAGCACTGTGGGGAAACACAGAGAGGCCTGGGCAGCAGGAGGAAACGGATGGTGCACAGCGAGTGTGATGGCTGTAGGGGGGGGTCAATTACTGGATCTGATCCCCTGTATGGCTCTTTTTGCAGCAGCTGAAACTCAGCGGGAGGGAGATCCAGTAATTGCCCACCCCTCCTCCTGCCATGCCAATCACCCTCCCTACACATATCTGAGTCACCCAGCTGCCTGGGCCCCCCTGCTGGTCTAGGCCCATACAGAAGGGCTGGTGGTACCCTCTTATCCACGGCCCTGATCGTATACACCATACAGAGTAACATTATTCAACCACAAGATGAATCTTTATAATATGGACAATCCTACAGATACACATTATTCAAGGCAAGAAAGAAACCAGAAAGTTGAACTTCAGTCAGATATTAACAAAACACCATGTGGTCCATTTATATTAAAAAAAAAGCTGTTGTGAATATTCACAGTAATTTGCCTATTGTTTTAATTTCCTATATTGTCAGCGCCATCTAGTTGCCATTATAATGGCATTTTCCTGACTTGGAGTATTGCAGGAAAATACTGCATTATGGCTACTAGATGGAGTCGATGAACACAGGAAATAAACATACTAGGCAAAATAAGGGGATTATTCTGGACAGTTGCTTGAGACATTCACAAAGCAGATGTTTTATGACCCCCATAGTATGTATTACATATATCAGCCTTTCTCAACCAGGGTGCCCAGGCACCCTGGGGTGCCTTGAGGTTTCTTAAGGGGTGCCTTGGCAAAATGTCTAAAAATTGTCCAAAACCTGTATACAAGCCAGCAGATGGAACAAGCCTGCCTTTTAGTTACACAAAACCACAGGTTTTCATTGTGCACCATTATGACCTTCTGGCTGGCAGCATCCTGACAACCAATGACATCACCAGTTGATAAGGAGGATGTCAGCTGCCTGCACAACATCCTAGTTTGACCCTCCCCGCCCCTCTACATCAGTGCTGGGGCCACATTAGCTCAGTGATGGAGAAAAACTGAGGGAGAAGAGAAACACTAGAATACTAGTCAGTACCAGTGTGCAAAAGTGTATTTGCTTTGGAAGAATAAATCACCTCTAATGTTGGATGTCCTATGTGTATGGATGTAGCTGCGTTATATAAAACTATTAGAATGGGGTGCCCTTTTAAAATTATGGACAGACTAGAGGCACCCCATTTTAGAATGGGGTGCCTCAAGACTGTCCATAATTTTAAAGGGTGCCTCATGACTGTCCATAATTTGAAAGGGTGCCTCGGAACTGTCCATAATTTTAAAGGGTGCCTCGGAACTGTCCATAATTTTAAAGGGTGCCTCGGAACTGTTCATAATTTTAAAGGGTGCCTCGGAACTGTCCATAATTTTAAAGGGTTCCTCGGAACTGTCCATAATTTTTAAAGGGTGCCTCGGAACTGTCCATAATTTTAAAGGGTGCCTCGGAACTGTCCATAATTTTAAAGGGTGCCTTGACTGAAAAAAGGATGAGAAACACTGCCATATATAATCACAAGGTGTATTATTAAATGTAGCTAGGGTAAACACCTGAATACGGCTTGGTATCAGCTTGTTGCAGTCTGCTGCATTGTACAACCAAGAATGAAGAGGGAGGAGCAGCCTTAGGAGCCAGTCAGGTGAGCAACAGTGCACATGTGCTGACAGGATCAGTGAGCAGAAGATGAGCCCATCAGTGTGCTACTGCTCCTTCATTGTCCAATCACAGGCCGTGGGCAGGTGTTAGACCTGGCTGTATTACTTACCTGCAGCAGTGAAAAGTCAGGTCACCAGCCTCACTGTGCTATGGGTTAAGTATTTCTTCACCAATAAAACAGCTCCCATATATAGATTTCAACTGTGTATTTAGCTATTTGAACGTAGTTCAGCTTTAAGTAAACAAGTAGGATAAATTATATCCCGCAACACATGGAAAATCAAATTGTGTTATCTTGTTAGCTATATTCTCACCATCCCACCACCCCCAAGCAACCTTTCTGAACCGGTTCACTGAACAGTTTCAGTTCTGAACACTTATGGCATGCCGACACCGAACAAATTCACTTTGATTCCTTATAAGGCTCCTCCAAAAGATGTTGGAATCAAAAGAGTTGTGTGTCGTGACAGAGATTAGCCATGACAGCTGCTTGTAGCGAAGGCCTCCTGCTCAGCATGGTGCATCTTGCTCCCCTCTACGAATCGCCAAGATTCTGCATGACTTTCTTGCACCGAGTAGTCCCAGCGTTCATCACTGGAACAAATATTATTCTCAGTAGTTTACATATTGTACTTTTTTTTTTTTTAACTGCAGAAATAAAACATCAAAGGAGAAAAAGCTGCTGAATAGAGAGTGCCCGATCGCCGAGCCCGTCTCTTGCTCTTGACATTGCCACTTACACTCACTGCTGTGCTTTTATCAGTAGAAGAATGCTATTTGGTATGGTCAGTAAACCGCATCATTGGATAGGCAAATACAATGTTCAGAAAGATCAAATATAATTAGATATGTCAGGCCAGTCACAGGAAGACTGTCTTAGTAATCATTAAATATACTGGCAAATGACGTGAAAGGAACAATTACAAATCAAATCTAATATCCTTTATATCCGCGCAGTGACGGGCTCCCCGTTGTTACAGTGGTGTTTGCAATTTTCAGATGGCATGCTATTGTTCCCACGTGGGCAGGAAAGTGCTTAACTTCGGGTAACTTAGGAGCAGCTATATAGCTAAAGCAATCGCCATGCTTGTCTTAAAGGAGCCATTGCAACAGGTTTTCAATAATGCTCGCTTCCACCAAAAGTATGTATTTTCGTTTGTTGCCTCACCACTCCATTCAGCTGCCAAGAGTGAAGGAATCAAGCCGTATGTAAGCTCCAGGTTCCTTTAGTCCGGGGCCTGGGCATAGGGCTGAGGGCTTCCTCCTTGCTCCATGTGACAGTACTGAGCCAATCATCTAGCATTAGTGCAAGTGAGGGGGAGTGCACCACATGCATACTTAGAAATAACTAGTATTTTTTTTGAGTGGAGTGGTGGACAGCAAAGGTAAGTGAAGCACTACCCCCTTAGGGGTTGCTGATGGCTTTGGGTCCCCTTATAGTCCTGCACAGCTAGTCAATTAGCATTTTCCACACAGCTTTCATCCACAGACAGAAATCAGGCCTTGAGCATTGGTTTTGTAATTATATTGAGGGGATTAAACTTGAATAGGGTGTAGGGGTGTATAGGATGCACAAAGGAACTGAAATCGGAGGACAACTGCCTGAACTATTCACAGCTTCTCTTTTTTGACACAGTCTCTGTTGGAGTGCTAGTCAGCAGCTCCAGTTGTACAACCCCAGACCCCAGATGAACTCCTCTTCCCCCAGCAATCTGGAGACTTTCTTCCTGAGCAGGGGATCTGGCTCCTGTTCCCTTAAATAAGGTGCACAGTCACTAGTAGAGGGCGAATCTGGTTTCCCACCAGAGTGCTCCTTCCCCTATCCGCCCAGGGGTATAGGTGTACTCACTCAGATCCTCTCCTGTACCACTCGTGAAATGGCTGCTACTACCAGGTCTATCAGCTGGGCTGCTCCTTTCCTGCCATACAGATGGCACTCTCTCAGGGGGTCTGAGAGTTTTCCTCCTTTCCAGCTACAGGCCCCATCCCGCTAGGCCTCCTGGCAGCCTTCTCCTTCAGCCTCACATCTTCCTGCTCTACACTCCTCCCTCCACCACCACTCTCCCTTTTACTGAGCAGGCTCCAACACTTTTAAGGGTGTCCAGCCCCTTGCCAAGTCTTCTGTTGGGGTTTGGCTAAGGTCCCTCAAACGTGCAGCCAATTACTCCTCAGATCCACCCACTGCCTCCAAAGCCCTCCTCCAAAAGCCTCAAAGCAGGACAAAATTCCAGAGGGGCTGGCCTGCAAAGTCTCTTAGTCCCGACCAGAATTTGACCCCTCTGACTATCCCACCTGAGCTGCTAATCGGCCCCTCACTAGCCATTAGGGTCTAGCTCCCCCTAGCTAAACTAGGAAGGTGCTACATAAGGAAAGTACAGTATGTGTTGCTGGAGGACAGATTCCGGGAACTGCTGGGGGACAGATTCCAGTAACTGCTGGGGGACAGATTCCAGTAAACCTTATTTTGCTCAACCACTTGACCTCCAGAAGGTTTTACCTTCTTCATGACCAGGGCATTTTTTGGTATTCAGCACTGTGCTATTTAACTTGCAATTGCTCAGTTGTGCAACACTCTATATAAATTAAATTTATATCATTTTTTTTCACACAAATAGAGCTTTGTTTTGGTGGTATTTGATCACCCCTGGGGTTTTTATTTTGTATTATATAAATTAAAATTTTGAAAAAACAAGAGGGTATTTTCCACTTTCTGTTATAAAACATATCCAATAAAAATAAAAAAAAAAAATCTAAATTCTTCATAAATTTAGGCTAAAATGTATTCTGCTACATTCTTCGGTAAAAAAAAATCCCATTAAGTGTATATTAATTGAAGTGTATATTAATTGGTTTGTGTGAAAATTATAGCATCTAGAAACTATGGTAAATATACTGGAAGCTATAGATGCTATACTTGTAATGGCGGTGATGAGAGTGACTTACTGTATAGTGGGACTGTGAAAGTGTGGTGGGCAGTCGTGTGCAAACAGGCACTGGCTGGGAGGGACGCTAACTGACTGACAATGACATCGCTAGTGATATTAACACAAAGATTAGATATAATACTGTACACTATACTAATAACACTGGCTGGAATGGGGTTAACATCAAGGGGAAATCAAGAAGATAACTCTGTGGCTAACAAGTGTAACGTGTGCTGCTTTTACTCACAGATCTGGCTGTTATTCCCCCTGCTTTTCAGGGAAAAGAAACACTGTTCTGTGTACACAGAATTCTATGTGTTTGTAAACACAGAACTCTGTGCTGTGATTGAACACAGCTAATCAGCAGGTTTCAGCCAAAATCATTGAGCCAATGCACTGTGGGCATGAGATTCCTCTCACCAGAGCTGCATGTATACAAAGGGCCACATATAATATGGCCACATGGTTATATTCAGACAATGACCCTGTCCTTATACAGCCATGTGGCCCCACAGCTGCATGTAACTAAGGGGTGGGCAACCTCCTTCTCAATGCTCATAGAGCTGACAGGGATGCGATTATGTGAAAGCATCCCACAAGCTCAATCAAACTGGGTTCAGGCTGAGTTGGGATCTGAACCCAGCTCAGCTTTAAATGTAATCACTTGTTCGCCATCACATATAATCATGGTGATCACATGGGTTTGTTTACAGACAAACCTGTCAGCTTAGCTGTCATTGTTCCTCGGCTAGAGAAAGGCACATCGAGGCTACAGGTGGTACAGTAGAGCTAATAGGACTTGATGTTTCAATCCCAATGTAATATCTGCACTTTTGATGTTGGGATTGGTATGGTAATAATGGGAGGGTAGGTACATCATCAGGGTAATCAGGTGGATAGCCTCCTTCTTTAGCATTTTATAAATGAGCACACTATGTCTCCGGCGGGCTCGATGAGGATACCTGGCATCCAGGTACACCCCCCACAGTGTGAGTTATTAAATAAAAACATTTTTAAAAGTTGATGTAAATCGTTGTGTAAATCAAGAAACATATATTTTTTTTCTTTCCTTAGCATGTAATAAAGAAAGAATTAGTAGAGAATTTATTAAAATGAGATGCCACATAAGAGTCTAATATTTACTTAAAATTGCAAAAATTGTAGGTAGGGTACTATGACATAACAATATTGTTAAGTGAACTTAGTGATGCTTCTATAATTGGTCTTGGCATCTAGGCGTCAATGACCTCTGGTCATGAAAGTGTAAAAAGGCATAAATTCTCCATGGAGATCATGAAACCAACTAGGATTTGCCCTTATATTGGAAACAAATGGATTGCCCTAACCCTAGCTGTGCCCTTTTCAGGTAGCATCCATTTAAACCCCTCTGGAGTACCCAGATTCTATTTTCATTTTCTGTCCAGCTCCGTCTTTGATAAAAAAATAAAGTTTAGGTCCTCAGAGGCGATACACATTCCATCCATTCATCATTCAGCTAAATCCAATATGTTTCCACTTCTCCTAATCTGTTTCTTCCTCTAGTCAAAACCCTTAAACAAAACAAACAGGATTGGAATTGGGCAAATGCCGACAGCAGTAACAGTGCCTTTCTACACTTTTAATTGAATGGGGGAAGGAAAAATCTGAAAGTACAGCAAAGATTTCAAACAGATGGCAGAGCATGATTATGTATTACAGTGTTGATGAGGAGATAGCATGTTTATTTTACATTAGTTAACACAGTTTCTGAACAGCCTTTCATTGAAATCACCTTCCTACCATGTGTATTAATTTGCTGATGAAGGAAGAGATAGATTTATCTAGGGACATTTGCTTCGTGGAGCTAGGCCATGTTGTACTGAACTTACAGGGAAAGGTGATGCTAATGCTAGTTGTCTGGCTCTCACGCTGATCCAATTGTTTCAGTGCATAGTCACTTACTC